CTCTTTCCTTCACTGTAAGGGCATCCGGAGCCTTTTGCTGCCCTATCCTCAGCACTAAGAGCAAGGGAAAGGCCCAGCCCAGAGAGCACACACAGAGCACGGGTGCAATTAGTGAAGATGAACCATACGCCGCCCTCTCAGTCAAGATGCAGAAGTTACTGAGCGCGTGTGTGCGCACACGTAGGCCGAGGCGGGGGACGGCGCTTTTACCCAGATTTGCAGCAGGAGGAGGAGGGACGTGGCATGTGTATCCGAAAAGGAAACGTGGACACGTTCAGCCCAGGAAAACCTGCCTCGCCATCGCAGGAAAGAGGCTAGAAATGCCGGTTACACATTAGTGCTCCGATAGGAAGCAGGAAATCCTGAAGAAATATCCAATTAAAAAAGAAAAAAAAATCAAATGCTAGTGTTATTTTCTATGAGGTGATTTAGGACGGGGCAAGAACTGACATGCTGAAATTGGCCTTTGGAGGAGCAAAGCGCTGGGAACTGGTGCCCTTGGGGTCGTACTCACGCGGGCAGGATCGGGATCAACCACGGCTGCTCCCATCTGGGGACATAACAACACAAAGTCACCCTAAAACACCGAGGAAGCCAAATACTGCTGCAGACAAGGGCTCTGCTTAGCCCCTGCTGCCGCAGCAGTGACGTTTTGGGCATTACTAGAAAGAGAAAACACGGATTGAGAGGCGCGCTGGGGGCATCCCGCGAGCCGCGGCCTGGCTGCCCCTCGCAGGCGGCGCCACAGCCTCCGTGCTGAGGAGAACTTGAGCACCTTGTGGGCTCCTGTGGAGCACGAGGCACCGCTGGGGCAGGAACGGCCCTCACGACTCAACGCTGAGTTTCTCTTTCAAACCACGTTACTCCAACACGTGAACCCTCCATATCTGGGAACCAAGGAGGTGCTTCCAGGGAATATTTTTAGACTAGATGATCTCTAGAGGTCCCTTCCACCCTCAACCATTCTGTGATTCTGAAGTCGCCCAACTAGGCACTGTTTTTGCAGTATGAAGCCAAGGCAGCTGCTGGTGGTCACTTGGAGCACATGCCGCCACGAAAGGCGGCTCTACTGTATCACATCCATTGCACATACACTGCTACACAACACTTTGCAGTGCCACACATGGAAAATGAGCTCAGAAAGGCCTCCTGATGCCTACTGACACCCACTAAGAGAACCACAGTGCAGATCTGCCCAGGTTCCTGCTAGGAAAACTAGCTCCTCAACACGGAATTGGTACCAGCTGGCAGAAATCCTGCTCCTATCCCTCCTTCAGTTCACTCTGCTCTCAGCAGGGCCAGGGGGGAAGTTTTTTTTTGTAGCAGAATCTTCAGAGTTGGATTTCCAGAATTGGGAAACCAGCACAAAAGTCATCAGGCATGATCCTAAGTCTCAAACCCATGTTGGAAGTCAGCACACCCGGATCCTGAAAACATGGGCTGGACACTAGTCTGCTGCAGCCTGTTTCCCTCTTAATTCCCTCTTACAGGACAGGGATTTGAGGAGGATTCCTGGCTTACACGGCTTCTGGGTAAAGAGCTGCCTGATTAGAGTGGGATGGTTAATAAGCCTCTAACAGTACCTACTGGCTTAATCTCTTCCTTCAGCACTTGGCTTTCTACAAGTAGGGAAATGCTTGTGCTAGATGAGCACCAGCTCTGGAGAGGGCCCTAAGGGTCAGTTCCCACAAGACACAGAGACAACAAGAACCCGGGAAGGAAGGGAAATGATCCCTTCTCCTGCTCCATCCACTTCCCTGTAGTAACATTCTGCCTAGGGAGCAGCACTAGGGCAGCTCATTGCACACCTCAACAAGTGGGGCCAGATGGACAAGCAGATTGAGACAGGCCTTTCTGAAGAGCGCCAGAAAGCCCAGGGCTTCCGGTTGAAACCCCTTCCATTTTTGTTTCAAAAGGAAGGGAAACACATTCATTCATTAGGGAAACACATCTAAAAAAGGGCCAGGCAGAGCCAGAGGCCAAGAACACCCGTCACCTAGACCTGGTTTAACCACATTTCCTCTGTGCCCTTGAGGAGTTGAAGCCAACCACAGGAAGGCTCTCCCTCTCCCCAGCTGCAAAAGGGGAGTCATTTTGACCTTATTAGAGGAGGTTGTGAAGATTAGGCAGCATTAGCAGAATGCTTTGAAGATGAGCAGTGCTGATTATATAAGGCCTAATTAGAACCTGTTGATCTCTCCTCCTCAAGGGGTTACAGCCAAGCACTGGTAATTAGCAGTGTGAGCCCATCAAGCAGGGGTGCGGACGCTGCGTCCATCTCCAGCGCGTTCCTGCCTGGTGGCACAGAGGTGCCAAGCCCTGGTGTCACAGGGGCCTGCAACACCCGCACCACGTAGTGCCACGAGCTCTCTAGCTGCAAAGGTGTGTGATGGCACATGCTTCTTTGGAAATGGAATATGGATAAGGATGTAGGTTCCCCTTTTCGTTTCAGTGCCATAGCAATGCACAAGGTCCTCATTCACTTCCTGGACGCAAATTTGTCCGTAGGAATTTCTGTTCAGAGTGGCTGAGAAATGGAAAGCCTGGAGTTTCCCCTGTTTCCTCCAACGACGCAAGAACTACCTAACCAAAGTGGAATTTTAGTCTATGCTGTTGTGCCTTTGGTCAAGGAACACGGATGTCTGCTTGGTCCAAACCCCACAATACCGTTACCACAGACGCCCAGAATCAACCCATTTCCACACTTCCCTAACGAAGCGCGTTCATCAACCGCCAGCCTTGCAAAACACCTTCACTGAGGAGAGAAGGTGCCCCAGAGCCAAACCCGGCTGCCTTCAAACCTTCTCCGTCACGAGGTTTAGCAGCAGGGATAAACTTCCCTATGCACAGAAGCCCCAGAGACAGGGAAGCAGTGACCACACAGCGGCCGCCTGCCCGCAACGCGCCTCCCGCCAGGAGCTGCGCCTGCCCCACAGGTTTCCTGGCGCTCAGCGCACGGCCTGCTCAAAGCTTCCGTCTTCGTGCAACAAAGCCAGGAGCTGGACTGACAGCAGCTAATGCAAAAGCTGTGCCTCTCCTTTGCCTATTTTCTCCTTTGGTGGAAAGTGCTATTTAATTGCAAAAGTTTAAATCCAGACAAGTTAATGCTCATTTAACTTGCCTTACAGTAGCTGAAGCTTGCCCACTTCAGCACAAACAGGAGCTTTGCACCTTCAGCAGAAAATTATCACTAGAAGTAAGGCTAACTCCCATTAAGTGCGTATCAAACTTTTCCTAGCCTGTGCTGGGAACTTCTTGCTTCCTTTATAACCTCTTAATCCACACAGCATTTGTCACAACCCTCAAGATCTTTAGAAGAGCTGGAGTGGTTGCTGGACAGTATTATACAGAGTCCATGCAAGAAGCAGTTTACGTACAGAAGCAATGAATCAATCCCCAGGATAGTGCTTCCAAGGGCACCCATCCCCTTTCAGGGCTCTCTAGGGTTGTTACAGCACCCACACCAAGGAGCCACCTTGTAAGTTAGAGAAGAGGCCACCCGCCTTCTCAAGCATCTTCCAGCCTGGGTGTCTGCTGGAAGGTGCCGTCCTCAGAAAGCAACTGAAATCTCTGCACACAGAGGTAGTTCAAGGGTCTTATTTGTCCACACATGCCATTAACATTACAAGACTGGTGCAAACAGCTGTTCTTTAGATCTTACCAGCAGAAGGTTTGGCCAAGTGGAATAATTTACTATTTTACTGAATGAGCACATGTTAGGACAAAGAAAACATAGCTGATCAACACGATTCTTCAACCATTGCAGAAAATGTAAAACCAGTTCACACTTCAGAAGAGTCAGGGGTTTTCTTTGCGAATAATTCAGAGAGCCTGCATCAAGAAACTCATCCCAAAGCAAAAAACCTACCCTAAACCAACTAACCAACGCCTGCCACACCAATAAATGTGGCTGCTGTATTTGGTAAAAGATATTTTTATTATTTTTAAAGTTAAACTGCAAAGAGCAACTTGAACCATCAGAATAACGTAATCTTTTTGGGAAAAAAATATCCTACAAGATAATCGTTAACCAGTGTTTTTAAGCTATTTATTCCCTAATGAGGGAACCCCTGTGCAGTAAGAGATGAGAAATGCTCAACTTGTATCTTTTAGCATTGCCTGAAATACAAAAGCTAGTTCTGGTTGCAAAGCCATTACAAGTTTCTATTCCATTTTATTCCTGCCAAAAATAAGAAGTCTTCTCGCACATTTCTGTTCCTTTGAAACACACTTCATTTATATACAGCATTTTCCTACTGCAGTGTCATATTCTATACAAAGTAGGTCAACGGCACTGTATTTAAAAAGTGTTTGGTTCCAGAATGATTCAAGATTGTCGTAAAAAAAACAAGCAAAGGCCTGCAACGGGTCAAGCAAAGGTAGCCAAAGCTGCCAGGAGACCCCCACTCACTTCTATCAGGGACAGCTGGATGTAAAAGAAATATAGAAATACATGATAAATAGCCCACATCAATTTGTTCAAGACACTCAATTTATTTTAAATGACATCTTTGTTTTTTTAAGCAGGTCTAAGCTCGCGAGCTGGATAAATCCCCTCAATCTCAAAGCGTTCCTAGTTACAAGTCCACACGAACCATCTGCAGCGCAGGGGTCTATGAGCCACTTACTTGCGACAGGGTGGTGTGTCCTTTAGTTCATGACTCTTCTGGTCACACGAAGGCAAAGCCAGCGCAGGCTGTTCCACTTGCAACCCGAGCATCTCTCTCCAAATTAGACAAATGTGTTAATTGCAGCTCATTTCCATCAACTGTCACAAAGAACGGCCGAGCTGCTCAGCCAGCCTGGAGTTCTAGTAGCAAAAATAGTTTGGTTCACTAGCAAACAACTCTCTAGCAGTAGTCAAGGAATTCATTGGCTTCAAGGATCTTACTCCTCCTCTTAAGGTGAGTAGGTGAACTTTTTTTTTTTCTTCTTCACAAAAACAAGTTAAACATGGACAATTAACAAAAAAATTTATGAACAGAACTTTTAAGGTTTGCAGCTATTTTATTTACAAGTATACATTTAACACAAAGAAACACTGATATCCAAGCCTAGTTAATAGTAGTGTAACAATATGCATCATTTTGATGATTATTCTAACCAACAAACTACACTGAAAAAAATTAATGCCAGTAAAATTCTTGGTCATAATATTAAGAAATACAATATATAAATTGAAAATATGATTGCTTAAAATTTGAAAATGGAAGTGAAGCCATTTGCACAGGAGTCAGAGTTTAACATAATCTGAAGGGAAAGGCTCCAAACCAACTGTATCTTTCAAGTTAACAGAAGGAAAACAAAAAAGAAAAAAAAAACAAAAACAAAAAAAGGAAAAAAGCATAGTTTATCCTTAAAGATAATGGGCAGTTTTGCTTCTTCAGGTAGAATGTATTCCCAGTGTTTTCGTGTTTTGCAGTGGAATTACATTACTGAGCATGAAGACTTCCCTTGTGAAGCTGCCCCATCAATTTTTTCTGCCTCCAAAATTATCCTCTTAAAAACATCCACGGCAGTCTGCAAAGAGAGGGGACAAGATCAGTGGGTGGGAAGAAACTACTGATTACTGGGAAAAAAAAAAAAAAAAAAAGTTATATCAGCACAATTCCGCTGGCTACCCCAGTGTGTATGCTCAAACATACATTCAAATCATATTTCAAAGTGAAAGAGCAGAGAGGAAAAACATGGTCATTTCAGTTTTGAACAAGGCCTTTTGGAAGGAGAGGGTAATCCCTTTCTCCACAACAATCCCCAACTATTTTCTCTATCACTGCAGGAAGGAATAAGTTTCAACTGAGGCGTATCAAAAGAAAGCCAATTACTGTAATTCGGTTTTATATTTCAAGTGTTTTAAATAGAAAGTTTGTGCTTGGTGACTGACAGCACTGAAGATTTGGATGTTTCACTTCTCCACAAAATAAGCCATTTTTTTTTCTCCAAGCAAGCTTTAAGCTCCATGAAACTACAGAAGAAAAGACATTTTTTCAGCTTCAAGCACTGACTCTACTTGTAATAAATACCGCACACAGCAAACCTGTTCTTTTTAAGACACGCTCAGTTTTAAGGGCTTTTAGGGTTACCGGCATCCATTAAGACACTCAAAAATACAACAGGCAACATAACATCATAACATAACAGAATTTACCTCAAAAGTAATGAAAAACCCCTACACATCAGTCAATGTTGAAGTGCTGGTCTGCATTATGACATTTCAAAATTAAAGATTCATGTATTGATCAGTGCTGGTCCCCAGCACCTCTAAGATGTCACTTGCAGATCATCTAATTCTAGCCAGTTAATTTCATGAATACCAAGTGTGCACACGATTTTAAAAAAGGAGGCATGTTGTTTATGTAAAAGTGATCACATTATGAGGAAAGGAATTAAAAAAACAACTGTTTTGTTCTGAATCAGCATGCTCAAGAGCACTCTGATTTATTACCACATGTTTTGACCAGGCAGATGTTTTTGCTCCTCCACAAGGCATAATTCTTAACTGGATCACTTCCAAATTCTTCTCATTGACTAAACTAGTCCTGCAAACTCTTAAAGTAATCGTAACAAGAATAGATTGAATTTTACTATTTCCCATACATGTGCACAGTATCACGTCAGGAATTATTTAGAATACCTAACCAGTGGGAATAGAGTATTTCTCCATATCAGGGAGCTTCCCTGCAATCCAGGGTCTGACAGAGGGGGTCCATGCGCCTAGAACTGGGCAATGCATTTCCTGGGAAAATGGGATTCTAGGAGAAGCCTGGACAGGACTGCAGCTCAAACGGGCTCAACTAGTGAAGCTTCCCTTGGTGCAAACCTGCTGGTTTACAAATATACTGCAAATATACCAATACACTAAGGTATATACCAGTGTTTCATTACTTAGAGTTGGCATTTTCAATGTTTTATGTATAAACTGTACATATTAATGTATAAATTCCTCATACTCCTCTTTAAAAACACCAATTAAAGCCACAACTCGCTCTGTCCAGCGAGAACCTGCAGGTTCTGTTGGAAACACAGTGTCAACAACTCTCCGGGGTGGCGCAGGCCACGGGGCTTGTTCATCTACTGCACACAAAATCCCGTTTCACTGCACGTTTAATCCTTGTGCTCCGGGTTACCCACAGGGGTCCCTAATTCAGGCCCCCAGAAATAACACAAATATCAGACTACTTGAGAATTTACTTTCTGAAATAAACTGCTCGCATGAGTTGATCTTGGCTGAGGACTGGGCAAAAGAACTTGAACAATGGTAAGGTAAGGAAGAGAATTTTTCTGATCCATTGCCAGTCCAAACACAGTCTCCTAAATAAAAACATTCCAGAATCCTGGGACAGGGCTAAGATCCTGAACTGCTTTAGAGCACACACTGAATACTGCATCTGCTGAGCCTGAAGATGAAAAAGAACTCTTGGAAAAGCAGCATTGCTCAAGCAACTGCATTTTGAATGGATTTTGTTTTGGTCAGAGCTAGATAAATTTGTGACTCCCTCCTAAAAAAAAGTTCGTCTAATGAGTTTAGCCCAGCTAGAAGACGACAGCTTGGTTGCTCTTTATTCCCTAAATTCTTCCAGTATATGCTGGCTTCCAACTTCTATTGAGTTTAAGATCAGTTTGGATTCTGGTTGTTTTTCAAATCATTCCTTCTTTTTAAACTAGGATTAAGAGGAAAAGGAAGCACCGTACTATGTCTTAGAGGTAACAGTGCTGGGAGTTCCACAAGAAAGCTCTAAGCTCCTGAAGTTAGGCTTAAATTCCAAATCTATTTCAGGTCATCTCTCTATGCATTAAATTAGCTTTCCAAAAAGCAAAATGAACCTGAACCACAGTTTTAGAGGGAGTTTGGAGTTAGCTTTGATAGGCCAGTTACATCTGCTGTACCAAGCCCAGTCAGGGGAAGATCTTGCTGAACCTCCAAGAAAACAAAGACCTCCAAGTGTCTGCAGGCTTCTTGGGAATATGGACTGACGTAAGGTGAACAGCCAATACCAGGAGAATTGACAAGCCCTGTGACCAGGTTCAAAATACACACTTGGCTCTCCAAACCAGACAATTTCAGAGCAAGGAAAGATGGTCTGTCTTACCAGAAGTCTAGATATGAGCCTTTTAGATTCTGCCAGACTATGATCTGGTGGAAACAAGCCATGAATGCAGAGATGCTTCTGATATAACTCGTAAGAGAGGACACTTATCTGGCCTACCTACCTGTAGCCTCCTCTTCCCCCTGGTGCCTCAGTTCTCCTAGACTTCATACTTAGCTTTCAAGCCACTATTTTTCCACCTTCCTCAAAGCTAAGGGCTCCTCAGCACCTGTTTGCTAAAAGGCTAAGGCAGCTGCTCCAGCTTTTAACTCCTCCAAGCTTTCCTCTGTGCATCCCACATCTCCCCAGGAACCACAGCCGATGGCCCGGAAGACGCTCAGTTTTGTGGGCACCATCTCAGCAATGACACACGATCCCTCTACGCTCTGAAGCTGGCCAAATTTACCAAGCATCTTATGCAAGAGGCATGACCTTAACAGCAGGAACTGTATTAAAGCCCCTGCTTCTGTCTCCTGAGACAGAAAATCTCCCCTTGTAGCAACCTGCATTACCCAGTGACCAGGCTTTACAGGAGACCTGGCAAGAACAACTTGAACAGCAAGAACTGACAGAATTCCTGATTTTCCTTTGAATTTGTACAGGACATTACAGAAGTTTGAATATCCGACATACAGCTACCCTTCCTATTTCCACAAAGCCTACACATTTTGATGTAAATGTTTCAACTGGCAACATAGTTTAACAACACAGACAATCTGCAAACCATTCTCTGGACTAAGGAACAAACACAAATACATGGCAGGCAATGGGCTTTTGTTAGTGCAGCAATTTAAGATGCAAGACATGCAAAGTATCATATAAAACTTGCAGCTTTTTTTGCATAAATTCACCCTTTTGGGGGAGGCGAGGGGGAAGTGAACCAGCAAAATAAAATTCAAAAAAGTTATCAGAAAGATATATTGCAAGATAGGATTAGTTCGCTCTTACACAGACCAGGCAACAGAATTATTAAATTGCTAAAAATATATATAGAGAGAGAGCGCGCGCGCTTTGAATGATTTTTTCTTTAGATTAGTGAGTTAGCAAGTTAGCATTTGAACCACTCAAGCAGTATAGAGATATCAAGAAATTTCATATTTTAAGCCCAATTTTGACAAGGTTAATGCGACATGTAGCCAGAAACACGAGTACTTATAAACTAAATCCAGATTGTGCACATCTAGAGAGAGAGAGAAAGTTTCTTCCAGCAAGTTTTTCTTCCCGAGGAAAATCCAACTTCACACAACTGCTTACTGCCAGTAGTTTCAGAAGCTACCAAACAGGTTATTCGTTTTGCTTTTGGGCATGGAAAGGAGGGAAGAAAAGGCTGTTTAAACAAGCTCTGTTCTAGCTCTAGGACCCTTTGACTACACTGAGATGATCAGGAGGCTGAGGATGTAATATCCTAGGTTAAACACAGGCCAAGATAAGCATTTCTTCTGCATAAGGACTAATATGGACTCATTTATTTTGAACTAGCCTGGCAGTGTCCTCTTGACTCTCTCCTATATCTGCAGTTTCAGAAATGATGCCATTTCATGTGCAACGCCCAGCTGCCTCTGCTGGGTTGTAACTGAGCTCCTGAAACCTTTATTTTCCATATTACAGCAACAGTCTTGCTTAGTCCTTAAAACACAAGGTTCTTCCCTTGTAGCAGTCTACTCCTCTGCAACCGCACGAGCTCCACTGTTTAAGGTAGCTGTAGCAACCACAGACCCTGCTCCAGCCACACCACAGATTTAAGTTTGTTTGTCACCGACTCTTCTGCTACATGCAGTGAAGTTAAACTTTCAGTTCTTCACTTCTCTTTTTGTTCACAGAGACAAGGAAAAACTTGCCTATTTGGACCTCAATGCAGACAGCCATTTTATTCCCAACCACCTACAAAAATACTTGTTGAGCACAAACATATTATTTTAGCTTCCTTTGAGCGAGATTATAGAAACATTCCATGATGTTATTATTCAAATAAAGTCAAACTTAATCTGTTACCTGATTTTCTTTAGCAGAAGATTCCAAGAAAGCTGCATTCCAGGATTCTGCTAAAGCTTTCCCTTCTTCATAGCTGATCACCCTGACCAAAAAGAAAAATTGTGTTTCTTGACAACTTGCAGAACAAATGGAATTTGTTGTACTTCAGGAAAATCATCAGAGCACCAAAACATATAAATACCTATTATAAGATTTTTTTGTGAGAGCATCTGCTATTGGCTATTGCCAAATCACTACTGAGCCAGGTAAAACTTGAGTGACCTAGAAAAGCAGTTGTCCCAAAGCAGTTTCATTTTTATAGTCTGTAATATCACCTAATGTTCTAGGGTTGTGAAAAATACACTCCTGCTAGTTGTTTTGAAAAAGAAGTGTTAAAAAGTGTTAAACCACTGTCCTTGGAATCTAGTAGCACAAATCAACATTAGAACAAAAGTTCATGGCTCTTAGTTCACGTTCTGGACACGATTCCTTTGCCAGCACCTTATTTTAACCTTCTTTTTTTAAAAAATTTCAGTTATGAAAAGCCAAGAACAAAACTACTGCGAAAAGGAATGCCTGCTGCTGTCTTGCATTTCACACAGACTGGAGTTCACATACCGTTCCATATGCAGGTCTTTTTTATTTCCAACCAGCATAATGGGTATTCTGTGAAAGAAAGTTCAGAACTTCAGAATAGTTATAGTATACTGAACAAAGTACTAGTAACATGCCTGCAATGAAATGAGATGAAAGTGTCACTACTTACTGGACTTTTCCCACCATATCCAATAACTTGCCATGGATAACTTTTATCACTTCAAAACTGCAAAATAAAGGGATGAAGTCACACATGCACTCCAATGTTTATCCTTAATACCCGAAACACAAGCAATTAACTGAACACGCAGACTGCCGTGTTAAAAGCTTATTCTATGGACAGTGGCCCAACGGCAGAGATGCTGAAAGTGCTACCGACTTGCATAAAACACACAAAATGAGCCCAGAAATGACAAAAGGCTATTCTTCTGCCTAGCATTATAGCCTCCCCAGTTATGGTATTTGCAGAAATAAGTAACATTACTTAGGATCTAATATGTTAATACTAAGAAAATATTCCCCCCACCCCCACCTGCTTTGTAACTGCAGTAAGAAGTTTAATTACTACAGTCCAACAAACCTGGATGAGCCTTTCAAATTAAAGCATAGCTCCAAAGTAGGATCCAGTTAAGTGCACTCTGCCTTAACATAATACATTGTTTTTTTAAAAAACTTGGTTCAGATAGAATTTTATGGTTTCATGCACATGAAAGACAAGAGACACCCAAGTTATAACTCTATGGGACGCAAGCGAACTGATCTGCAAGGTGGTGCTGGAACAGTGGTTATTGAAATATTTGTCTGCTCACCTATAATGTACATGAATTTTGAATGGCTGGAGATAAGAAGCAGTACCATGAAATGCCCAGAAGCCTAAGGCCTCGCTAACAAAGTCCACTGCATGTGACATTTAGCACTTTTCAGAAGGGGTTATAGACAGGATTAAAGAGTAGATGTTGTGCTCCTCCAATTGCACTATGGAAAAACACCCATACATGAAGGGCACAATTCAGTTTTGTTTAAAGACAGAAGCACAGATTAGACATGCAAATACATTGCAACAAAAAAAGGGACCAAAACTTTTCCAGTTTCCGAGGTTGTTAGCCACAGGCAGCATCTTGACTTGCACTGCATTTTAATTAGAATTCAGACACTTAAAAATAGAGCAGCATTCAAATGCACTTCCAACCCACACTTCTAAAAGAACTGGTGCCTACAAGTGCTATTCAAGCCATCTAAATCATTAAAAATTCTCACTTCCGAAACAAGAAAGGTTACTATAGAGTTAGAAAGGATTTTGTGTCAACGAGGTCTGGTTGTCAGACTTTGGCAGTAATTTTAGAGACAACAAATGCAAGTGAAAGGGGTGGGCTAGAACCCAACACTTCAATGTTCAGCTCTTAGTCCTCCTCTTACGGAAGCCAGTTCTTCGGCAGTAATTTTAGAGACAACAAATGTAAGTGAAAGGGATGGGCTAAAACCCAACACTTCAATGTTCAGCTCAGTCCTCCTCTTACGGAAGCCAGTTCTTCGCAAAGAAAAGTAGTGGCTTAGTCTGGCACAACTTCGTATTAATAGCTCAAGTATGATGCTACATATTAAATAGAAAAATGTAGGAATCAAAGGAAACACTTGAAGTTACAAGCAGCTTATGCTGAAAAGTTATTAGTGAAAATCTGGTCTCAAGAAATGGGTCTTACAACTGATTTTCACTTTCTTCTAATTATTTCAAAAAATGAGTTAACTGGAGCTTGCCTGTGACAAAACTCAGAGGCGCCACTACAAGAGCAGCGAGGTGACCCTGCAAACTGAAAGGGGGGAAGAAATGAGATGGGCTACAGAGCAGACACACGGTCTGTAGCGTGAAGCAACGGGGCACTAGCTACAGGATATCTGAACTGCTAGTATAAAATAATTCACAGCTTCCTTTTTCCTATTAGTGAAATTCCTTTTCACTATTAGTACACCTATTAGGGACACCGTTTCCAGCAGAGCTAGGAAGATGCCATTGCCCTTGCACAGGACTCCAGTGACTCCTCTCCTGAGGTTCCAGTGTCCAGTTCTGCTGAATGTTCTACAGAAATATGACTCTTTATGCACCTAATTCTCTTCATTTCCACATTTGGTATAACTGCTTATCTAGCAGAGCTCAAGAGTTCAGTTTTTAGCTAAAAAAGACTAAGCAGAAACAGCCCATCTCTATTAGCAGATCAAGGTGGACATCAAAAGATAAGTACTATTTAAATTCAAATAAAATACCAACAGAGAAACAAGTTGCTAAGATCTGCTAGGAATGAAATTGGCTTGACTAAATGAACTAAAGGATTTAGAAAACTTTCCAAAGTAAAAACCAGGGGCAGAGTTTGAAATAGATAAAAGAGTAACAGAGTCCTAAAACAGCAAGAGATCTAAATACCACAAAGACCTTTCCAATTCAGTCCAACAAACAGTGTTACAGTAAAGCTATCAACGTGTGAAGGGAACCCAAAATTTACAAACTGACAGATAAATGTGTTATACAAAAATCACAAAACTTAGCAGGATACAAAATTGGAATTTAATTAAGCTAAACTAGAGCAAAAGCCTTTCAGTAGCCTTGCTGCTGAGTCTGGGAATATTAAAAAAGTAGGGCATCAGCCTTTGCTCAAGTCCCATTTAAACTTCCCACTGGAGTTTAGCCTCTTTTTCCCTTTTTTTTTTTTAAAAAAAAAAAAGCTATTAGCATTGCTTGCTGTCAAAGCTGTTCCTCTGCTAGGTCAATACTCAGATCAATATGTACTTTGACTCAAGTGACAGGAACCAAAGCAGTGAGTGTAGTCTGACTACCTAGGGAGTCATCTGAGCTGCAGTACTGTGAAGACCTCTGCTCTACTACCTAGAACAGAAGCTTATGTATAGAACAGGGCATATTATTGATGCTTGGAAGTTTACAGGAAGAAAGAAAAATTTGCAATAAGTTGATTAAGACTAGTATTGATGGATATCATATCTACCCGCACAGGTCTTAGCACATCCTCTGCTATAAGTATTTTTACCATAACTGGTTTCTATTTAAGTAATACCACAGGAAAAAAAAAATCTTTTATCTAGGCCGTTAAGCTTTAACATAAGCTACCATAAGTGCACTTGAGATGCCTAATTTTGTCTAGTTCAGAGGAAAAGGCACATGATTTATAAAAGCTGTGACTTTCTATTTTGCCTTTTGGAGAACCAGCTCTTATGTACGAAGAGGCAACAACCCCTTACCCTCCTGTAGGGATGAAGTGAAAGGCCTCAGGTCTTAAACATTTTTCTCAAATAAGAATTGAGAAGTTATTGCTTATTTTAGCTGTCATATTGAAGATGTGAAATACCAAAAACACCCTAAGACCTATTCAGACTAGTATTTAACCAAAGCAAGAAAATCAGAAGGAGACAAAATAATGGAAGATGGCAAAGCCTGGCAAGAAAACTGAAATGCTTTTACAAGCATATGATGGATTCCAGTTATGATGGAATCAATCCTAACGTCAGGAGGGACCATCGTGAACTAGGATGAGGGTAATATTTCCTGGAAAATCTCTCAAAAGGATATTAGTGCAGCACTGCAAGAGTCTCTCCACAGGCCAGGAGTCCTCTATTGGTATCTGTAGAGCAGTTTTTGATGATTAACAAGAACAAGGTAAGACAGAAGGAAGTCAAAGAAATTCAAGGACTGTAACAAGCTACAAGGCTGAGGGGCTGAGCCAAGAGCCAGGTGATTCACAGAAGCGTGCGATGCCCTTTCAGCTCACGTTTAACTCTGTTTTTCCATCTGATGCTGGAGTAATGAACTCTACTTATTTCTGAAATCAATCTATATACATTTACTTACACCTCACCACAGAGTTCAATTCTTCTTGTTTCTTACTCAGTATCTTCATTAGTTAGCAAAATGCCTGTGACATTTGGATCTGAAGTGAGGTTTCTGAAAAGCCACTGATTTTTATTTCCATTTTACTTATAAGGGAATTCATGAATTATACACGTGTAAACAAAATACAGCAGAGCCAGGAGCTGAGCCCAGAATGCATCTGGTTGCTACCTGGATCATGAAAATATAGCAAATTCTACTACCTTTTTATTGACGTGACTGAATAAACAAGAATGTATCCATTGATGTCTATGGAGTAAGTCTGAGGAAATATGGAGTATTCATCCTGTGGAAGGAATATTGCATTTAAAGTTACTTATTGCCACAGTTCAAAACTTGATACTACCAAATCATGAGCAGTTAATAGCATTTATAAAATCTGAAGTGTATGACTTTCATATGTAGAAATTCAAGAATTGAGGGTGGTTTTTTTCCCCCTCCTCCATCATAATATACTATCTTTCTGAAATTAAAAGAAAGTGAAGCAAGTCTGGAACACAGCCTGAGTTATTCTGTATACTCTTAAAAAAAAAAAAAAAAAAATCCACAGCCTTTCTGGTTAATTCCCTTTAAGACCAAGGATCAGCTAAAGCTATTCCAAATCCTCTTACCATGCTTAATTATCAGTTTATGTTAGTACAAAACATCCACTCAGCACTACCCCTAATTAGCAGTTACACCTCTTATCTTGCTAGCGATACATTTCCAGCAAAATTCCAAATTTCAACAGTTGAAGACAGGATCTAGCAGTTTGATATTTTAAGTGGCACTTAAACACACCAGAGTTATTTAAGAGATCTGCAGGGAACTGAGCAACTGCAGCTTAAGAGCTAACTAAAGCTTATCAACTATAAATGGAAGAATTATTACTTATTAGTAGCTTTATGATAACTAGCAAGTGGCAAATGGCAGTTGCAAATGTTTCATTAAAAAAAAAAAAGTTAATCAATCACTGAATTTATTTTCCCATATAGAAAATAGGTTGCCCTAAAAGATTAATGAAACAGATTTGAAAGAAGATAGACTGCAGGGGAAAAAAAACCACTATAAATTACATGTTAATAAATATTTTAATAAATATTCTCAGGGAACATTTACATTTTGACAAGAACTATACATCTTAATGTAGGTATATAATGCAGATACATCTACATAATGTAGATCTTAATGTAGATACATCTTAATGTAAGTTCTCACTTTTTTCAACCTGTGTTTCTTAAGACATTAATTTTAGCTTAAAGATTACATAACTTCCATGTATATTGTCATGACTGAGCAGATGGAGCTGCGCAATCAGTCAGCTTGAGGCTAGATGGCTAAAAGAAACCAAGTTTCCATTAACAAGCAAATGGGGGGAAAAAAAAATTAAAGCAACTCTTCACAGATTCCACCAAAAGCTATTAGAAAATAACACATTATAAAGGATGCCCTTGTGTGCTTTTTATAGCTCAACACTGAGGATAAGCCACCCCCATCTTTGTGCAAATGCCAAACCACTGCTCCAGTTTGCCCTGCAATCCAAAAGTCAACACAGAAGGAATCAGAGCTGCTCTGCGTGTGTGACGGGTGAAAGTGCAAGCCCAGATATTTGGCTTTATCTGGAATTCCTCGGGACAGCGTCATTTGGAGAACAGGGTTAGATAAGATGTGCTCTGACACTTCTCTTTGGTGATCCCATCATCCTGGGACACCTGTTTCCAGAACATGAAATCCGAGATCTGAAATGTGTAAAATCTGAGTGGATGGTCACAAAAGGTAAAGAGATGAGGGACAGAAAAGGAGCAGCAAAATAAGTGCCGCAGCCTCAAGTGTTTCTTGTTCATGGCTTAAAAGTGTTTGGCTTGTTTGAAGTTAAAGTAAATAAATAAATAAATAAAGCCAACCACGCCTCTACCATTCCGCTTCCTGGAATTCCTGAGTCAAATCAAGGACTTTGGTAAGTGACAACGCAATGTGGATCTAACTTTGTTTTTAAGCATATGTTTTTCTAAGCACGTTTTTAAGTACCAATCTACACTGCAACTTTCCTATGCTACATACACGCCTAAGGCTCCTATGGAAAGAGTGCAATGGTGGCCAGCAAAAGCTTGCAATACATAAATAAAGCCAGGTTATTCAGTCCTACAGTTCTCTCTAAAAAAGGGACACAGAAGTGGCACAGCCTTTCTGAATACTCCCCAGCGAGGAACAAGTGTCCTCCTGCAGCCTTCAGGTCTTGAGTACTAGCAATGTATTTGTCCATGCTATGATTATTTAATGCCACTCAGTTCAGAAAACCTCATAACAGGAACAATATCAAACTCACAGCAGGACAGATCATGTAAACAGTAGTAAATTCAAACAAGAAGACAGAGTTTAACACTGCCCCCCTGCTCCTGCCCTTTTAATAAAGCCTTTCAGAGCATTTTTGTGCCTGGAACGTACACTCGCCTACAAGCCCTGACAAGCAGCACCACTTAATGAAACTTGTATTTCGTGAAGCCTATTGACCGTGTCACAGGACACGAGGCCTCATCCTACATTCCTGTTCGGTACAGCTCGGAAGCCAGCATGAACCATCACTTAATTAAAATTTTAAGCAAACTGTGCTAGCTCACAGGTAGCGCTGCTTAGATGCACTTCTGTCTACCTCTTTGGAACACTTTATAAATGCCAAATTACCATGGTGGAGCTGGTGTGTGCAAAGGAAAAAAGGAGTTATGAACAACTTCTGGCCAGTTTATCAAACTGATGCTCTCCAGCTGAAGCAGGAACTGTCAGTTTGGTCCATCAACATTAAGGGGCTACTTAAAAAGCACAGACATTTGGTATGTTCAAATAAAAATGGTTCCTTCTTCAGTATTTTTTTTAGACATTATCTACTTTAAACAACAGCTACTGTTTGGACAGCAAGATAGGGGGCTTGAAGGAGCCTTTAAATAAACACCATAAAAACAATGCTCTTTGGTGAGCGTGTAACAGTGATGCAGTGTCATTTAAATTAAACTCCAGTTTCAAATGCACGGGTCTCTACCAATGTAGTTCTACTGTAGTATGAACACCTGTGGTCTTAATCACGAAGAAATATTCAAAAAAATACTTACTTGGCCAGCAGTGTCAACCAGCTGAAGATGATATTCTTGGCCATTTACTGTGATCAGTTTTGTAAAAGCTAGAACACAAGAAACACATACACATTTGAGAGTTACAAGCAAGGAAGAGATCAGCAATCACTGCTCTGCAGCAATGAGTTTAAACATTAAATACATTTTAAGCAGCAGGAGGCTAAATCAGGTGACTGGGCTTTCAACTATCATATCGCAAACGCTGAAACTATGAAATTTACTTTACAATTTCAAATTCCAGAAGATTCCCACATTGGATGCAGCAGGTTTTAATTTTAAGCAACTCTAAAGGAAGGAACAAAGACGACTTTTTACATGTATTTCAAAGAGACTTCAAGGCAACTCTATTCTGTGGTTAACTTGAAACACTTAAATACCATTAGCATCAAAGCTTACTTTAAACTGAGCACAGGGTATTTTCCCTATTTTCAAAGCAGTTCAACGAGATCAGTTCCCTAAATGGAAATACCACGAGGCAAATGACCCAGACTGGGGGGGGGGGAGAAAAAAAAATCTCTGGGGCAAGACATACACAGACTAACTTTGAATACGCTAAACCCAAATAATCAAGACGTAGCTCTAAGCTCACGTGTTTCTTTCACATTCGCTGTGGCTGGCAGCCTACCTGCTCCTTGGTCAGGGATTACATTAAGTTCTGAGCTGAGAGGTGCTCCTCGTGTGGGGGTGACGAAGCGCCAGCGCGCGCCGTCCCTCAGCGTTCGCGTCGTGGAGCCACCGAAGCGACCGTGTGGGGCGACGCCGCGTGAGGCGAGCGAACACACGAGCCCCGGCTCCCACCTCACGCTTCGCACGCGCTCACCTAAAGCGGTTGCCAACATCACCGACGCACGCGGCAAGGATCAACATCCTCCCCTACTCGAGCACCAACAGGCACAAGAACCTGAACAGTCTCACAGCTTCCCAGGAGCTGTGAGGTTGAAGGATCTCTGTTCAACTGGTCTGCCTCATGCCTACCTACTCCTTTTACATTTTATATATGTGTGTGTGTGTGTTGGTTCTTATAAACTGAAGCTAGCCAACCCTCCTCCTGCTCACCAGCAATGCCTGCTGCCCCATCAGGCCTTCACAACATGGGTATTATCTCAAGTAAGTGGTCTGACTCCTCGCTGGAGTATCCACGGCTGCCTAGTAAACCAAGGGGATTTTTAAGACTTATCTCTTTAAAAAGGGCTCATTCAATAGATAGCCAGCCTTAGTTTTAGGTTTTGGTTTAGCCTAAAGCAAACACATCGTTTCCATTAGATTCCTGGTAAGTGTGGTTTGAATGAAGCCTCAAGAGGATTCCTGCCATACCCTGTCTATCTCCAAAGAAGGGCATGAGGCAGAGCTCACGTGCAGAGTGGACAAGTCGCCATCAAGTCACCCACCCTGGGACACTGCTGTCATCCCTGCACAAAGTTTTAGGGTTATGAGGTGAGAATCTACAAGAGGAGTTACCCTTCTGCTTTACATGAACACTACGGTGGGAGCAGAAACTGATTCTTTGAAGACAACAACACACAGGGTTGCTACAAAATGACTGCTTCAAATAAGACAAAACACACTCATCTGGAGAGATACGATATATTTCCAGGTGCATTTAACTTTCTAGTCTTCTGACACTTTACATACCTACATACCATACTTTGCAAACTGCAAAGTGTTTTCAAGAAGCTTATGAAGCTAATGCTAATATTTAAAAAGGGACAGACGGCAGCTTTGCAGACCATTCTAGAAACCTAGAATAAACCAAGCAGAGGCACCAAAAAAATCCAACTGTGACAAAGGAAACGAGTGGAGGAGTTACCAGAGGCTGGGCAAGAAGAGCTCACCAGTAGACTTCCAGCACAAAGCAGAGCACGCTTCCCGATCCCAAATCTGGTCTAAGTCATAATTAATAATTCCTTTTTCCTTGCTGATGCTTGTTAAAGCTCCTGCTAAGAAATCAATCCCAGGAAAGCTGTATTAAGTGTGATTAGCAAAGCGATGGGTTTACACCAACCACTCGACGCACACGCTGCTCTCCTTGGCCCCGGGGAGATCTTCCCTTCCGAGATCCCCAGCAATCACTGGCACTGCCGAGTAAGGTAAGAGAGCAGCAGAAAATTGTTCTCGCAGGGCTGCTTGCCAATTACTACATCAAGCCACCTTGTCAGAGCTCCTCGGCTATCCCTTTCTGCAGCTCTCCATTAGGGCCTATCTTATCTTCATTCCAAAGTCAATACCTGCTGCTAATCTGTCAGGACATCTTTTATAACCTTTAAGATGTGTAATTCAATGCAGCTAAGCTCGAGCTCTCGCAGAAGCCGCCTTCCCACCCTTGGGAAGGCAGCGTGGGACACTTCTAGGAACCCCTTGGCAGCTCTGGAAAGCAAAAAGCAGCCAGGGAGGACTGAGAGGAGCTGGGCAAGAGCTTCTTGGGGACTAGGGGGATCACATCGAGTTTGATTCAATGTAAAGTCACCAAATTAGCAACAAACAAGGACAAAACTGCAAGGCTGTGGGTGCAGTGAGTTGTATACACATTTGCATTTTCTAACCAAAGAAGGTTATTTTTATACTGCAAAGTAAAAATACTGGAATATTAGGTCATGTCCTTACAGTTGAAGGCTTAAGCGCTGTGCCTCTTTGTCCAATAACTCCAACGTTTGGTGGCAGACTCATCATTTGAGCACAAATTCTAAAGACTAAGCTACTCGCAATGAAAATATTAACTCCAGTGCACCATTTGGTGCTAGTAAATACTAAATATTCCTATTCTACAGAGGCAAACCAGCTGAAATGAAAAAAATAGAGAATTGTCTCAGGTTTTGTGACACTACCACAAGATGAAAGTTGGCAAGATTTTGTAGGCTGCCATAAAACACTGGAAAAACGCAACATCTTCCAGCTCCACTCCTAGCACAGGAGCTAGAATTCTCAAGCCCTTTTACTAGTACTGCTAATTACAGATCGAAAAAATACAAGCTAGGAAAATAAAAAGGAATTATCAAGACACTTCCAGTGTCTTATGATCCTGCACAGAATCAGAACCATAGAGCTGAAAGAGGCAGAAAAATTGACCTATCAAAGGTTCACATTAAAAAAAGCATTAAAAAGATTAAAGAGTTCCGTCAAAAAGACTGTTTTTATATCGATATTTTCAAAACTGCAGGTTCACCTGCCCATCTTAAAAAGAAAAAAAAACCACACACACACACACACACAGAGAACCACACACACTACAATATAGTTTATATTTCAATGGCAAGCCTCTTAAGTATTATTTCCTTTGTTGTTCATATAAATATTTTTAAAACATTCTCCCTTTGAGGCCTTCCATTGCCTAGAGAAAAGACAGACTTCCTACAGGTTTGAACCTCAGGGCAAATCTTTTTTCCCATTTGCATCCCCAGCAACAAGTTCTGATGCAAGAAATGCCCAGTTCTCTACCTCTCAGAAAGCAGATCCCTTCAGCCATGCCACAGACCACAAGACCCTCATCAAATGAATAATGCTGTTTGTTTTCTGAACAATTAAAACACCAAGAGAAAAAGACAAGTTTAATCAAGACACTCCGCCTCCAGATAAATTTTAAAGTCATGACATACCTAATGTTATGACATAGCAATACCAGTAGAAATTATAAGATCAAATAAATCCAGAATTCCTCAAAGCTGAATGCTTTATATCCATATAAACCTGTATATTATCAAGCACAGTAGACATCTTAAGAGACTCTAACCAAATTTAGGTGGAGGGTAAAGGTGATACTTAATTATTAACTTTACAGATAGTCATTCAGACCTGATAACATTTTGAGTAATTCTAATTCAAAACAAACCTTAATTGTAACAAAGTACAGCAGGATTGTGAAATTTAATAACAGGATTTAAGAGGGGTATTTAATAATGACATCCACATAAAGACTAAAAGGTCACGTGGATCAAAGGACAAGTTATCCACTTGTTGTAGCAAAGTTAAGTTTCTTCAAATAATAACTAAAATTCTAATTCTAGACCACAAAATGAAGCAAAATCTAAGTAAAATATCTTGATAGCTGTTGAGTTTTAATTATGAGGATATACATTAAAAAGTATCTCCTGATACATCATTCAGATTTCCAGAGAACTATGCAAGTTCAACATCCTATTGCAAAAGCCCGAATTGGTTTAAAAAAAAAAAAAAAAAAAAAAAAAAAAAAAAAGGCACAAGCTCTGGGGTTACCATCATGAATCCAAGGTTTTGCTGTGCCGGTTACCTCTGCGTAACACCAAGCTGCCCACGTATTTTAGAGCCACTGCTAGATCTTAAGGAGGTGGCTGGACGGTAACAAATACTGAGTAACTTGCCTCTCCAGAGACTTGCTGCTCTTGACAGTATTTTTGGTATTAGTAACCTTACTTACCCACTATGCTAGCTATTCACAAAGACACTAATATAAAAACAACTTAGCAATCGCTTGAGAGGAGAGTTACCAGTATTTGCTGCGAGTTGTGCGTGGGCAAGGCTTGTTCCCCTTCTTATCATGCAAGGGGAAATGAGTCATTTAAGGACAGTCCATGTTATCACGACTACAGTCTGTTTACTTTCTAAGGTAGCCACTTGCTCCTGGAATAGCTAGTTTTGTGTTCATCTAGATACATTGATCAAATGAGAAATCTGAGGTTTTATAATACTTCCATCTAGCAACACATTTACACAGATGTATGACATAATTAATTTGAATTGTCCTGAATGATCCTAGGTGAAGCAGATGTTCAACAAGGTACCTATAATACAAGAAGCAAATACGTTTTAGCCAGATGGGTTTGCTTTTTCCTTTGGTGTTAAAATAATTTAGTTGCTTGGAGAAAGATGCGCACAATCTCCAAGCTGCAATGCTGTTAAGTGTGGCACCCATTGGTTTAAGAGATAAGCTGTTAAGCTGAATTTATGAGCTAGAGCATCAAGACATAAGTGTCCACACAAATATAATACATATAATCAAAATGACTTCTGCTAAGAGCTGGTGCCATTTAGAGAAGTCACTTGAAAAACAACTTGTCAGTTATTCACTTACTATTTTCTATGGTCGGATCATATGAATCAACAAACTGTCCTTCCACAAACTGAATCGTCAGTGAAGATTTTCCTGTAAAGCAAAGGAAAAGAATTGGTATCAAAACAAGTCTTTGGGTTGTTACCACATTACATTTACACATAGATACACTAATACTGCTTATAAGAGCTAGTACAAACCCTATATAGTTCATCTAAACTATCTGTACAAGACAACTGACCTGTATTTTAATTAAGTGCCTATTTCTGGCAACTGGATCATCAGAATATATACTGAAAATAGTGCAAAAGCTAAAGCTCACAACATGCTCTGCTTTTGCTTTAGCATAAGTCTTTCGGCATCGCTCAAGCTTCACTCTCCTCTTTACAAACCAATCTAAAAGTAGCACCATCCAAATCTCTTAAGGCCAATTTTACTCTGATAAGGCAAATGATCATACTTGAAAGATTTTTCATCCCAAAATATGGAAAAGCAGGAATAATTTTCAGTCATTACAGGAAAAAATTAGAAACTGGAAAAAAACAGTCAAATTTAGTCAGTTTTGACTGACTAGTTTGACTGGGATATTAAACATATTTTCTTTCACAGAAGATCGATCTAAAAATTCTTGAGATCAATTTATTATCCTCTATTCATCATCTTCATGCCACGCTGCAAAAAAATAGTGAATGCTACGTTTAAAAAAAAAAAAGTTGTGAAGAGTTTTACAAGACAGTAAAACATGAGCCAGATAAACTGACTGTAAAAAGCAATTTTAAAAGCTTTGCAAATACATTTCAAAGCATTACTAAAGTCTTAACACTCCTTCCACTGCAGCACAGCTCCTACATCAGGAATCTACTAGATCCTATTACATTGTGTTTACTGGACAAATATAATCTTACAAAGATTGCCAAGTGTGTTAGCCACTTTTGGACACGAACATATTTTCCACACTTTTATACTCTCACCAGCAAGAACTGCAAACAAAACATAAACCTCAGGTTAAAATCCACCAACTACCTGCACCAATTTTTTTTTCCAAATGTCTTTTCAAACAAAGTTATCAGATACAATTTCCTAATAAAACTAACAGTGAAACTACAGATATCCTACATATCCTGGACTGGTTTACAGAGAGCATGGTGCTGCAGGAGACATCGATCAAACAGAAAAAATATCAATCAGCATCTGAAGTCATCCCAGAAATGAAGAAGCACTGCTGTACCAGACCCAAAACTTTACATTTAAGAAACTTTCTGAAACACTATATATATATTTTAGAAATGAGTTAAAGGAGTTTGCAAGCTATTTCTTTTTCAGTGTATAAGCTTATGAAGAGGTTACTCAAAGTTCATGCTTCCAGATTCTTAGTCAACAAAACACAGGCAGATTTAAAATAAAAAACAAATAAACAAGAAAAACCACAGACCTCTATTTTAAAACAGGATTTTTTTTTTCTGTTTTAGGCTGCTTTATCTTCACATATCAGGAAGAACACTCATGCAGATGATCACATCTGAACATCCCTCTTCCTCCTAACAGGCATTCTAGACTTGCCGAAGGACGTGACTGCTCTGTCTTTACTAATTTGGAAACTGAGTATTAGCAAAAAACCAGAGCCAACACAAAATGCTGCATTTAGCTGTACTAATTACTGCTTTCCTCCAAAAAGTAAAAAAAAGACAGACAAAAGCCAGCATTCCAACACTCTGCTACCCCCCACAAGCTTTACAAGGAGCCTTCTAGCAAGGCTGCTTTCTCTGGTCCCAGGAGGACCTTTTCTGGGTGCTGCTTTTTCTAGGCGCGCTGTGGGGATGGACTGCACAGCCCTGGATTCAGCCACATCCTCCCGGGCTCAGGGCCTGCAACACGAGCTCACCGAGCCTGGACTTGCAAAGGAGCACCCGAAATGCAAACCCTCCAGCATTAGCACCCAGCTGCCCTGTGGCAGCACAGGGGACATGTAAACAAGGGCTTTGCTTGAACTTTGCCCCACAGGTTTGAGTCCAGGCCTTTGGATGCTCACGGAGAGGAAAGCAATGAGGCTTTCACTCCCATCTCCTCTTCCCTCAGGAGGATCAGGACATATTTTGAGAGAATTGGAGAGGCCAGGAACCACACGCAGTGTGTTCTGAGGGACGTGCTACCTCCATCCCCGCGCGGCGCAGCTGGTGGGACACAGGTTGCTCCCAGGTTGCAGCCTCAAAGGAGGCCGCGGCTGGAGGCAGGATGCTCACACCAGCAGCAGTCGATTCCCCAAGGGTTTGTATCTCTAAAAAGGCTGATTTGCAGCAAATGCCCTCTAGTTTTATGGAAAATAAACAGCTGTGGAGACTAAGAGGTCTCAACATGAGCAGAAACACAGCAGAATGGCAGCTGAAAGCTGCTCACTCAACTGATGCAGACTTAGGAATTTAAGGTGAGAAATCACTTAAAAAAAAAAAAAAAAAAACTTCCTGGAAAAGATCATGGTTTAACCTCCTAATTCTCTATCTAGGATCAGAAAGCTTAACACAAACAGGAAGAGACAGGAAATGCATTGAGACAGAGCAGTAATTAAGCAACTTTCTTAATTATTAAACATTTAACAGCTGGCAACATCTAATTCATTCACACCATCAGCCTAACCTCTTACAGCCTGGGAGCCAATCTACTCCATTTTACCTATGGAGGAAACTGAGTTTAAGTTCTCATAAAAAGTTCAAGAAAATCTCATAGTTAAAAAAAAAAAAATCAGTGACAGAATGAGATGAACTTACTGTGAAGCACAATAAGTTGAGCATAATTGTGCATAAGATACTGGAAATTTTGGTACACAGTCAAGTTTTTGTACTGAAAGCTACGCTCAGTTTAACTTGAACATTGGGTTCTTTAGCTTCTGTAATTCGGAATAGTAAGATTTACAAAACAGACGCATCAACATTCCCATAGTACAGACTGTTAAATGGTTCTCAGAGTACAGAAAGAGATAAATCAAACCTTTCAGCAGATGCAGTTGAAACATCATTGCAGGTTAACTGCACAACAGAGAAACTTGCAGAATTATTCTTAGACTACAAGATGGCAGAGAATCTTAGAAATAAAAGGCTGTATTACTAGCAATTTTATGTTGTTAATTAAGAATTCCTCCCTCCCCAAATCCTACTAATGGCCAAGTATTTGCTATTTTGCTGACCACTGTTATGCAGTTCAATCAATCATTTTAATTACCATAGAAAGGATACTCCACAGCCGATAAAGAATTCCGCTTCTAACTTTTGGAGAAAACAGTACACTTAGGAGTACTTTACACTTTACTTGCAACTTAATTCCATTATTATTGTTTTTTTCAACATAAGGAATTAGTCCTCACAAACAAGGCACTCGCACCTACTTTGGGCTGCAGTTTGACCAATTTTGCAGTCGTTTCCCTGGGACACCATAATACCAGGGTGGAATTGATGTTCTGATGTCCACAGAGAAAAACCTTGAGGACATTCACACTCAGCAGGGGTGGACTGGATTATATTGGCACTCAGGTCTCAACACACAGACTGTGGGAGTCCTCTCAAAGTTTTAGCTGAGCTTTACAGCACAGATGAAGGAATCTGGCCTTACAATCCTGCAAGAGCCAAAGTCTTAGGATCCCAGTGAGACAACTTTTGGTAAAGTAGCAAAGAGTTTTTTCTTCTGTTATTCTTGAGGTCCTTCATGACACCAAACAGCAGATCAGAACACAAAGCTCTGTCTCAACTTTTATGGCACTATAGCCCAATGCTACAACTCTTCCCTGCCTATATACTGAGAAAGAAATAGAACAGAAGAAATATATTTGACAGTCTAGGGCAAGATACTGTTGCAAAAAACCCTCCTATAGTAGGACAAGCAGGTCCATGTGACAATGCACAAACACAAGCTTCATGGAGAAGAGGACGTGCTTATTTCCTTGCTTTCTGCACTATAGGACCAGCTTGAGGGATTCCCCTGTGAGCCAGATGACTTCCTTGCTTTCCTTTATTTTCTCCACATTTCGATGCAGTTGGGCAAGCTTCCCATCACAGTTGCAGGCCCCTGCAAACCTGGCAGGACTGAGCTCTCAAAACACGAATCAAGGAGTCATAGCAATGCTCCCTACATGAGATTTGCTGCGAGAGGAGAGCAGGTGCTTCACCCCCATCCGATACTTCACAGCAAACCAGGTCTAGCCAGCAGCGAC